ATTAACTTCGAAAAAATAAATAATAACTAGTTTAGAAAGAATACTAGATGAATATTGCTTAATAATAGAAATCTAATTAACTAAGCAAAAACATTTTCTTGAAGCAAGTATTGAATTCTATTAATTATAAAAATCTTAGCTAAATATTCTGCTATAATAATAATTGCTTAATATATCTCTTGAGTAAGAAAGAATTAGAATAATTTCTTTAGAAGCTTTAGTATTGCAGATAAATAGCAATAGCAGAGTAAGAATGCATGCTTAGCATTCCTACAAGTAGCAATTCGAACTGCTCTGATATTGTGAAATAAAGTATTCAGATATTGAAAGAAAAGCTTAGCAATAATACTTTTTAATATTCTTCATTGCTTATACTAAGCATTATAATTAGGAATATAAATAAGAAATAGTATTCTTTTAGCTACTGATATAAATATTTAAGCAATATAAAGAATGCTTCTCAAGCAATAGAAGAATTAAGCTAGAGCAAACAATCTAGCAGCTTACAGAAGCTCTCTGCAAATAACATGCTTAATAAGCTTACAGAAAGATTTCCTTTCAGCATTAGATAGAATAAGAAAATAATATAAATTGAATATCTTATTTATGAAATAAAGCTAAAGAAGCTCTTTATCTGCATTCCTTTGCAAAATATTAAAATATAAGAAAATAAGAATTCTCGAATTAGCTCATTTTATAATCTATATTATGAACTAGCTTGAATCTTCTGCATCTATTATAGCTGCAGAACATATTTCTCGAACAAAATGCAATACAAATAGTTTCTTATTAAAGAATTAGAACAAATCCTTTAAGCTATTAAAAAATAGAAACTTCGCTTTAGAAAGATTCTTAATAGATAGTATTACAATACATATATCAAATTACTAAACAACTATTCTATACAATATATAAATAAGAAAATAAAATAATAGTAATACAAAATAATATTCTATACAATTCATATTAATAATAAGATTTGCAACTAGCATTAACAGAAGAAAGATTAGGAATAATAATAATATAAGCAAAAGCAAGCTAAGAAGCTTGCTTAAGAAGTAGTAAAGTAAGCTTAAAAGAATAAGTAGTTCTTAATAAATTTAAAAGAATAGAATTGCTTATAAAGGAATTGCAGATAATCAGATTAGAATAGTTCTTATATAAAGCTTTTAGAACAGATTATACTTATATTAAGTTTGATATATATATTCAAGAATATAAATACAGCATATTATTAAATAATAGCGCTTAAGGAAATTTTATATTCTTATATATTATTAATTAAGTATAACTATAATAAAGATAAAAAAGATGCTTATATATTCTCAGCATTATAAAAGAATAATCTATTATATATAACTAAGAAGTAATTAATAAGGAAACTAATCATCTATTTATCTTAATTCAAGAATATATAATTAGAGCTTCCTTTGATATTACGAATACAGCATAGCATAAGCTAATTATAAAGCTTTTATAGCTTAAGAAGTATAATTCTCAAATCAATTAAACTACTAGCTAGATTTCATAAGAACAAGCTATACTCAGAGAGATAGTTATAATCAATAATGCAGAACTAAAGCTAGTAATTAAAGAATACTTAGAAAAAGAAGCTTTATACAGCTTTATATATACTTTTAAGTTAGTAAAGCTAGCAATTCAAGAAGAAGAATCTAGTAATAAGCGAATTCAAATAGTGCTAGAGTATTAATAGATTAGCAAAACAATAGAAGCGAGATCTTCAGCAAGTTAGTTCGCTCTAAAGCAACAAGAAAAAGCTTCAGAATATGAATTGTAGAACTATACAGGAAAAACCTCGAAACCAAGCCCTTAAGCGCTCAATTCAGCCCGGAGCGAATGCTCAAAGCTCTCAAAAACGCCATCAGAAAAGAAGCACACTCAACAGTATCTACTATTCCTCCAGATAGCAGAAACAGCACAGAGATCAGAATCAATACTTGCAAACATACTATAAGAATATTACAAGTTTAAGAAACTATTTCAGAAAGAATTGAATACAGAATTGCTAGAATATAGCTTATACAACTATAAAATTCTGCTATAAGAAGGAAAATAGCTCAAATTCTTTCTTATTTATAAACTAAATAAGATATAGCTAGAAATACTTAAGAAGTATTTTAATAAGAATCTTAAGAAAGAATATATATAATTATTGCAATTATTAGCAGAATATTCTATTCTATTTATATTTAAGAAAAATAGCAAGCTTAAGCTATATATTAATTATAAGTAATTTAATAATATTATAATTAAGAATTAATATTTATTATTATTTATTAAGAAATTATAAGATAGATTATAAGAAGTATAATAATTTATAATTCTGAATCTGAAAGAAGCTTATAATCTAATTAGAGTAAAGAAAGAAGAAGAATGGAAAACTGCTTTCAGAATATGCTATAAATACTACAAATATTTGATTATGCTTTTTGATTTAACAAATATTTCAGCTTTATTCTAGGAAATAATCAATTATATTCTATATAAGTATCTGAATCAGTTTATTATTATTTATCTTAATAATATTCTTATTTATTCTTGAATATTTAAAGAATATAAGAAATATATAGAAATAGTATTGCAAATGCTTCAAAATGCAAAACTTCTTATAAAATTTACAAAGAATCATTTTTATATATAAAAGATTAATTACTTCGGATTTATAATTAAGCTAGAATGTATTAAGCTATAGAAAAATAAAGTAAAAGCTATTAGAAATTAGCTAGTTTCTAGGAATATTAGAAATATTAAATCTTTTCTTAGATATATTAATTTCTACAAGCAGTTTATTAAGAACTATAGCTGAATTGCATATTCTCTTACAAATCTTACTAAAAAGAAGTAGCTCTTTAAATAAACTCCTAAGATATAAGAAGCTTTTGATAAGATTATTAAGTATATTATCTTAGAGCTAATTCTATATAAAGCAGATTCCTATAAATTCTTTGAAATTGAGATTAATATATCAGAATATATACTTAGAGAATAACTTAGCTAGCAAAATAATCAAGAGCATTTAAGAATTATAAGCAATTTCTCAAAGAAATTGAATAGCTTGGAAATTAATTATAAAATCTCTAATTAGAAACTTATAGCAATAGTAAAAGCTTTCGAAAAATAGCAATATTATCTTATTAGCATATAATATTTAATTATAATTTATTCAGATTATAAAAATCTGATTATATTTATAATAATTAAGATTTTGAATAAGCAATAAATCAGATAAGCAGAATTCCTCTTATAATTCAACTTCAAGATTGTATACTGCAAAAGCTCGAAGAATGAATAAGCAAATGCTTTCAATAGAAAATCAGATTATCGAAATGCAGATTCTTCGAATATATAAAACATCTTCGCTTAAGATGAATCAGGAAATCTTATTAATGTATATAGAGAACTGAATGCTGCTCTCAGAATAGAACTTTCGAAAAAGAATTCAGAATTAATAATTCCAGATAAATAAAACAATTATATTAAGAATATATATAGTATATCAGTATATAGATATTAGAGAATTAGAGCAATCTATAAATGTATTAGAAGATATTAGAGTTTATTAAGCTTTAGAAAAAGAATTAAAAACATTCTATAATAATGCAATAGCTGTAAAAAGAATAAAGCAGAAAGATATAAGCTTTATAAATTACTATATTTCTTATTAGTATTTATAATTATTTAGCAATTTATTAGTTTAGATTTTATTATTAAGCTATTTCTCTTATAAGAACTTTTAACTAAAATATAATATAATAATATTTTAGTAATAGTTTGCAGACTAAGCAAGTATGCTTACTTTCTTTCTTATAAGGAAAGCAGTATAGCAGAGAAACTTGTATATACATTTCTCAGAATAATTATTGCTAATTATAGCATGCTAAAGAAAGTAATTTCCGATAGAAATAAAAAGTTTAACTTAAAGTTTTAAACTTTGCTTATAAAATAGCTTGGAATATACTATAGAATATCTATAGCATTTTATTTATAAATAAATAAACAAATAGAAAGAATAAATTAAATTATTAAATAATATCTATAATACTATATTAATCAGAAATAGAATAACTAAGTTAATTTATTATTTTTTGCACAATTCGCTTATAATAATATAAATATAAGCATAATAAAGAAATTGCTATTCTTTATACTCTATGAATATAATCTAATAGCTTATTATAAAATATTGCTAGAAATAAATGCAGAAGCTACAAACAAAAGAATTAAGAAGATTAAGAAAGTTTAGAAAGAATTCCAATCAGAATTACAATTCATTCAGAAACGAATAGCACATTATGCAAACTCCAAAAGAATTGAGAGATTAATTTTACAGAAGGAAGATAAGACTTACTTACTTCAAAAAAATATCAAAATAATCAGATCTAGCAATAAACTTAATTATAAAAAGTTGGAATCATTCAAAATCCTATAATAAATCTTGCTAATTAATTACAAACTTATACTACTTTACGAAATAAGAATATACTCAGTTTTTCATATCTTATTACTTGAATCAGTATTATAAGTAATACTTACAAATAATACTATTAAAGTTGAAGATAATAAATCAGAATATGAGATAGAAAAGATTCTTAAATACAGAAGCAATAACAATACGCTCGAATACCTTATCAAGTAAAAAAGTTACTCAGCAAGCGAAAACTCATGAGAACTGCAGGAGAATATCGGAAACGCTATAGAAAAAGTAATAAAATACTGAAAAACAAAGATTAGCTTCAATCCCATTACTATACTATTAGCAGTTATTTTAGCATTATAATAATAACAGAAACCATTACTTAAAACCTTTCTGCCTCGGAATAAGAATCAGATGCTGCAATCCTACCCAAAATACTATCTCAATCCACCATATCGAAAGCATCCCAAGACTGAGCCTCAGCTACAGCTTCAGATTTAGCAGCATGCTGAGCATCCTCCTTCCAACGCTTCTCCTCCTTCAGCTCGTTCAGAGAATGCAGACTCTAACTAACCATCTTCGCACTATAATCGCGCAGAGAACGTTTCTGTTTCCGCAAATATATCAAATAAGCTATTGCCTCGTTCAATTTAGACTGAAGCTTGAAAAGAACTTCCTCCGCATCCAACTCCTCCCAATCTAAACAACCAAGCTCAGTAATAATACAAGATACTATCAGAGAAATTAGAAGGCAAACAAGAAATAACTTAGAAAAGAACAAATCCATAAGCATTTACTGAAATACCGGAATCATTGCAGGAATAATTCCAGCAAATATAATAGGAATATCTTTTAATACCTTCTATTATCTTATACTCCAATCTTTTCGAGATATAGAAAGAATAAAGCATAACTTCAAAACCTTAGAGATCGATAATTAGAGAAAGCTGAAGGTATTATTCGGATTTTTGAGAAAGAAACTTTTCGATTCTATTTAATATCTTAATTAGAAAAACATAATCAGGCTTATAAATAGCTTGCTAGAAAACTTACAGAAATACATTAAGAATAATAACTAATAGAAGGAAAATAATATTATAATCCATTCAACATACAGATTACGAAACAAGCTCTGCTAACAAGAAACTAGATATTATAACCCAACATCAGACAACCATCAGAAATTATATAAGCAAGAGTTAGAGTTGGATTACGATAATACAGATAAGCTGCTTACTGGATCATTACGATATAGATCACGGATTACGATGAGCTGGATGAGCTACAATGAAGAGCTGGATATATAAGAACACATTTATTACTAACTAGATAGATCATTGTATATAGCTCTTCAGTTATCAATCTAAGTATCAGATTACTCTCTACTCTAATAGCTCCAAAAGCAGTGAATACTTGCATCGCTTACTGAGACTTGTACGGTTCCGTATTCAAGGATTTGGCACTTTGATATCGCTCTTGTTAGCATAAAACCTCTTGTGTACTTAGGAATCTTCGGATTACTGCAGTGCTCATTACACTAATCTTCTGCTAAGAATATCTGCTTATTTATTTTCTAAGCTTTTATAATATATAATCTTAAAATCGAACTATAAGAGAAATTCTATTTATCTAACTTATTATTTATTCAAGATTTTAATTATTATAAATATAATTAGATTCTTATAATTCAAGTAAATTATAATTAAGTATTATATACTAATAAGATAGTATTATTATTTCTTGAAAGTTTTTATTATTGCTATAAGTTTCTAATCTAGAATCTTATAATTAACTTCTAAGCTATTTAATTTTCTCGAAAAGTTGCTTATAATTCTTAGATATTCTTAATTATTTTATTAATTAAATTATTCTTTAAATATATATTCTGATATATTAATTTCAATTTTAAATAGTTTATTATTATAACTCATCCAACATGCAGATTATAACAGAAAAGCAGTACAGCATCAAGAATATTCAGAACAAACTTTTCAACATCAGAAATATAATACTAGCTTATAGAAAGAATACAAGCCAGAATTATATAATTAGAATTAGAATTATAATAATTATATAGTTAAAAAAATTAATAATCAACTTTATTAATTAATTAAAAAAATTAATAATTAATTCTATTAATTTATTATTATAACTCATCCAACATGCAGATCACCAGCTAGAATACCCGGAACAGCTATCCGGAAAGACAGGGAAGGATTCAAACATCTCAAGAACTAAAGCTTACATAAGCAAGAGTTAGGATTACAGAATCAGAATGAATCAGTAGCTAATTCATGGTAATCCGGATCAGTTGGATTATCCAGATAATCCAAGAGATCCAACAACCAATACTATCAACAGAACTGAAGAGCTGAATATATAAGAATATATTCATTTCCATTAAATAGATCTCGTATATAGCTCTTTAGTTATCAATCTAAATATTTAGTTTCATATACTGAATAGCTCCAAAAGCAGTAAATACTTGCATTGCTTATTAGAACTTATATAGTTCTGTATTCAAGAACTTAATATTTTAATACTGCTCTTATTAGTATAAATCTCTTCATATACTTAGAAATCTTCAGATTGCTGCAGTATTCATTATATTTTAATAATTCTTATTCAAGAATGATTTAGTATTACTTTCTTGAATAATACGAAATATAATAGCTTCTTCAGAAACTTCTTTATCCTTGCATGCTCTTACTCAGAAGAAACTGATTAATTAGGTATACTAGCTTATTCAGTATATTCAGAATCTGCATGAATAACAGCAAGCTCAGAGCGCTATCATTACTAACTAATAAGCTTAGCTAGCTTAGCAAGCTTAATAAGCGCAGTTTACTTCTATAGCTACTAATAATACTGGAAAAGCATACAAGATAAACAAGCTTGCTATATATAATAGCAATCAGAAAATGCTATATAGATTCCTTATCTACTGCAGAGCGTATTTCTTGCATCATACAACTCAGTTTATTATGAAATCTGAAAAGATTATTCTTGTAGAAACTCATTTCAAAAAGAATATCTTTATTTAATACAAATCTTTTCTATATAACTACTTGGAGCATCAGAACAATCCTAATGCATATATTCAGAGTATTAAGAATATATTCAATTCTTTTAAAAGCTTTAAGAAAGCTTTTAAAGAAATCTTTAATAATTCCAACGAAGAATATATTATAGCTTAGCAGCTTATAAATCTTAGACAAATTAAATTAGCTTCTGCTTATATAATCAGATTTAAGCAGCTCTTAGCAAGATTTCTATAGAAAGATAAGAATCTTATAGAATATTATTATAAGGAATTCAAGAATAATATTAAGAATGAAATTTCTAAACAGAATTAGCTAGAGAACTTTGCAATATTTTCTAATTAAGCAATCTGCATTAATAATTATCTATATAAATAATGGATAAAGAAATTCAAGAAAGAAGAAAGCTAAACTTGAAAATTTCTAGCTAATATAAGCAAGAAACTCCAATACAAGAATAGTAGATAATAGAGCAGCATAGCTTAGAGCAGTACTATGCATACTAATTCCATGAAACTTAATACTACTAACAAGAAGTATAGCAAGAGAAATAATATTACTTGCTATAATTATAACAAATAAAGATATATTGCATACAATTGCTATCAATTCCAGAAGAATAAATAGCAACTAATTCAGAAAGAATACTAGATAAATATTGCTCAATAATAGGAATCCAATCAACTGAGCAAAAATATCTTCTTAAAGCAAGTATTGAACTCTATTAATTACAAAAGTCTCAGCTGAATATTCTGCTATAATAATAACTGCTTAATACATCTCTCGAGTAAGAAAGATTCAGAATAATTTCCTTAGAAATCTAAGCGCTATAGGCAGATAGTAATAGCAGAGCGAGAGTATACGCTTAGCACAACTATAAGCAGCAACAACTCGAACTGCTCTAATATTACTGAATAAAGCATTCAGATGCTGGAAGAAGAGCTTAATAATAATACTCTTTGCTATTTCTTATTACTTGCATTAAATACTATAATTAGAGAAATGAATAAAGAATAATATTCTCTTAATTATTAATATAAATATCTAAACAATACTAAAAACGCTTCTTAAGCAACAGAAAGATCAAGCTAGAATAAATAATCTAATAATTTACTAAAATCTCTTATAAACAATAAACTCAAGAAGCTTATAAAAAGATTCCCCTTCAGTATTAAATAAAACAAGGAAACAATATAAATTGAATATCTTGTTTATAAGATAGAATTGAAAGAGCTCTTTATCTATATCTCCTTGCAAAACATTAAAGCATAATAAAACAAAAATCCTCGGATTGATTTACTTTATAACCTATACTATGAACTAGCTTGAATCTCCTGCACTTATTATAGCTGCAAAACGCATTTCTCAAACAAAATGCAATACAAATAGTTTCCTATCAGAAAATCAGAACAAATCCTTCAAGCTATTGAAGAACAGAAACTCTACTTCAGAAAGATTCTCAACAAACAGCATTATAATGCATATATCGGATTACTAAACAACTGCTCCATACAATACATAAATAAGAAAATAAAATAGTAGCAGTATAAAACAATACTCTGTACAATTTATATTAATAATAAGATTCGTAATTAGCATTAACAGAAGAAAAATCAGAAATAATAATAATACAAGCAAAAGCAAGCTAAGAAGCTTGCTTAAGAAGTAGCAAAGCAAGCTCAGAAGAATAAATAGTTCTCAACAAATTCAAAAGAATAGAATTACTTATAAAGAAACTGCAAACAATCAGATTAGAATAATTCCTATATAAAGCTTCTAAAACAAATTATGCTTATATTAAGTTTAATATATACATTTAAGAGTATAAATACAGCATACTATTAAATAGTAGCGCTCAAGAAAACTTTATATCCCTATATATCATTAATTAAGTATAACTATAATAAAGATAAAAAAGATGCTTATATACTCTCAGCACTATGAAAGAACAATCTGTTGCATATAATCAAGAAGTAATTAATAAGAAGATTAATCATCTATTTATCTTAATTCAAAAATGTATAATCAGAGCTTTTTTTAATATCATAGATATAGCACAGCATAAGCTGATTATAAAGCTTTTATAGCTCAAGAAGCATAATTCTCGAATTGATTGAATTACTAGCTAGATCTTATGAGAACAAGCTATACTCAGAGAGATAATCATAATTAACAATGCAGGATCAAAGCTAGTAGTTAAAGAATACTCAGAAAAAGAAGCTTTATACAACTTTATATATATCTTCAAATCAGTAGAGCTAGCAGTTTAAGAAGAAGAACCTAGTAATAAGCAAATCCAAACAGTGCTAGAGCGCTAATAGATTAGCAAAACAATGGAAGCAAGATTCTCAGCAAGTTAGTTCGCTTCAAAGCAACAAGAAAAAGCTTCAGAATATAAATTGTAAACTTATATAGGAAAAATCTCGAAACTAGGCTCTCAAGCGCTTAGTTCAGCTCAGAGCAAACACTCAAAGCTCTTAAAAACATTATCAAAAATAACAAACAAAAAGAAGCATGCTCAATAATATCTATTATTCCTTCAGATAGCAGAAACAGTACAAGAATTAGAATCAATACTTGCAAACATACTATAAGAATACTACAAGTTTTAGAAACTATTTCAGAAAGAATTGAATATGAGATTGCTAGAATATAGCTTATATAACTACAAGATCCTGCTACAAGAAAAAAAACAGCTCAAATTCTTCTCTATCTATAAACTAAATAAAGCATAGCTAGAAATACT